TCTGGAACCAACTTCCAAGCGAGGTGGTGCTGGCTCCTACCCTGGGGGTCTTTAAGAGGAGGTTAGATGTACACCTTGCTGGGGTCGTTTGACCCCAGTACTCTTTCCCGCCATGGCAGGGGGTCGGACTAGATGATCTACTCAGGTCCCTTCTGACCCTAGAAACTATGAAACAGGAAAGTTGATAAAAATCAGTGATTTAAATTAGGCTTTTGGCTTGCTTATTTGAGTGATTTAAAATACACTTGATTTAAATCAATTCATCATGAAAGAGAGCAGTAGAATAAGGGCACTGGACTTCAGAAAAGCAGGCTCAGGGAACTGGTGGGCGGGATCGCCTGTGATGCAAGTCTGCGGGGAAAGGGAATCTGGGAGAGTTGATGGTACTTTTAACAGGCCCTTTTAAGGGTGCAGGAGCAACCTATTTCACTGCAATGGAAGAATGGAAAGTACAACAGGAGACCCACCTGGCTAGACAGCAGTCTCTTTAATGAGCTGCAACTCAAAAAGAAATCCTACAAAAAGTGGAAACTTGGACATGTTACTAACGTAAAATATTAGAGTATCATGAAGACATAAAAGGCAATAAAAAGGGATTCTACAAGTAGGTTGAAAGTTTCCAATCTGTATATATAAAAGTAAGACCAAGGAATGTATAAGTTGTATATGAAATGCAGGAAGTGGCTTAGTTACAAATGATGCAAAGAAGGCCAAAGTATTTAATGCCCTTTTTTTACTTCAGTCTTCAGGAATAGGGTTGGCTACAAGCTAGTGAGAGCAGTTGGCAGCAAAGGTAGGGAAGGAGGCAAACAGCCTAGAGTAGTGGAAGGAACCGTTCAGGGATTACTTAGAGAAGCTAGATGTTTTCAGATCAGCAGGATTAAATGGGATATACCCTAGGATAGTAAAAATTGTCTGAGCTAATTTCAGATCCATTGGCTATCTTCTTTGAGAAATTTTGGCAGTCAAGTGAGGTCCCAGATGACTGGAAAAGGGTAACTATCTGCCCATCTTTAAGACAGATAGAGGATCTGGGGAATTACAGACCAGTCAGTCTGATCTAGATACATGGAAAAATTATGGAGTGAATCCTCAAGGAACCTGTTTTGAAGCACCTGGAGGAGAGCAAGGTGATCAGAAACAGCCAGCATGGATACATCAAAAGCAAGTCATGCCTGACCAACTTGATTTCCTTCTATTTTTTTGTGGGTTGGGGGAGAACAGTGAATGTGATATACCTTGACTTGCAAGTCTTTTTACAGTGTCTATCATGACATTCTCATGAATAAGATAAAGGAATACAGACTTAATGAAAGTACTGTAAAGTGGGGATGCATAAGTGGTTGGATCATTGTGCTTTTTAAGTGAACATCAATGGTTCAACGTCTAGTTGGAAGGAGGTATCAAGTGGGGTTCCCCAGGAGTTTGTTGTGGGTCCCAGTATTGTTTAACATCTTCAGTAATGATTTGAACAATCGGGTTGAGTTCATGCTTAGCAAATTTGCAGGTGACACCAAGTAAGATGGAGTTGCAGACACTCTGGACAGTAGGATCTAGAGTGACCTGGATAGACTGGAGAAATGGTCTGAAACTAGTCAAATAAAATTCAGCAAGGACAAGTGCAAAGTCCTGCACTTAGGACAGAATAGCTGTATGCACAAGTACAATGGGGAAAGACTGGCTAGGGTTGTATTGCAGAGAAGGACCAGTGGAGTGTGAATATGAATGAACAGTGTGCTCTTGTTTCAAGAAAAGCCAACAGTATGCTGGGTCATATTTACACAAGTGTCATTTGCAAATCAAGGGAAGTGTTTTTTCTACTATATGGCACTGGTGAGGCCTTGTTTAGAATAGTGTCCAGTTTTGGGACACATATTTCAAGAAAGGTATAAACAGATTGGAAAGAGTCCAGTAGAAAGGGGCAAGAAAGATTAGAGGGTTGGAAAACAAGATTTATGAAGAAAGGTTGAAAGAGCTAGGACTGTTTATTCTGGAGAAGAGAAGATGGAGGGGTATTGATATGCATCTCCAAAACAGTGACGGGTGGTTATTATAAAGAAGATGGAGATTTAATTTTTTCCATGTGACTGTGGATACTGGGCTAAGAGCCATTGCTTCAAGGTTCAGTGGAGGAAATTTAGATTGGAGTTTAGGAAGAACTTTCTGACTATTGGAATGGTCAAGCATTGGAACAGGCTACCCAGAGAAGTTGTAGATTCCCTATCCTTGAACATTTTCAAGGGCAGTTTTAGACAGGCCCTTGGCTAGGTGTTTTAGTCAGGCATAATCCTGCCTCGACCATGGGGCTGGATTAGATGACTTTATGAGGTCCCTTCCAAACTTACTTTCCTATTCTCCTAAGAAAGATACAAGAGGTGTAGTTGAGAGATAAATTAAGTCAATGTTTTTTCCCCCCTCCTATTTTATATATCTAAATGTAGGTAAACATGTAGAATCATTTCACTATTTTCAGATCTGCTAAAGTATTATACCACTACCAATTATCTGAAAATGAAGAAGGCAAGAAACCTCATTTATTTATTTTCTAAGGTTTTTTTTTGTTTTTATTTTATTCATTTGGCTACTGATGATCAGTTTATGTTACTGGATCATTATTTCAGGTTTGCTGACAAATGGATAAAAGCTACATTTCTAAAGAGTGTCATGATAGCGGTGATAACTCAGAAAAGGAATATTATGGAAAGAGAGACCTGTCTGCTTCTGGTTCCGCAAAATACATTAGGAAAGCTGTTGAAAACATTTTGACTCTTCCTTCAAAAACTTTGGATTTGAGTGAAAAAAAAATCCAACATCTCACTGAGGATATATATAGATTACCCAATCTACAAGTAAGTAAACTGTTATGGATAACTCTTTACAAGTAAACCTTTGGCATACATTTTGTGCTTAACAGTTAAGAGCCACATACTATTTTTCTTGATGCGAATGGAAAAAATAAAGATTTTTTATCTATGATTTAACATCTATTTTCTGAAAACTATTACCTGATTATTTGTTTGTATAATTTACAAAAATGATTTTTATCTGTCATCTCCTATATATATATTTTGTGAAAATGTCATTATTAAAATAGTTCACAGTCCAGTTTATTGGCATTTTCACATTGAAGTTCTGCGTGCCAGTGGAACAGGCATTCCAACGTAGGTCTAGTTTTAAAACATATTTATATTTTTCTGCATTAGCATTTGCATCTGGAAAGAAATCAATTGGCTGTAATTCCTGAGGATTTATTTCAGAAGCTGCCAAATCTTGTTTGGCTGGATCTCCGGGATAACAAAATTAAAACTCTCCCCCCTGGAATTGGATGTCACAAGTAAGACCTTTTGTTTTATTGATAATTTAATAACTAATTTATTCTTTCTCTATTTGTCTCTAATGTAATTTTCTTCTAATGTTCAAACTTATGCCCTTTTGTTTTACACTGACCTCAGACCTGAGGATCAGTAAACAAAATTAAGAACTATATTTAAGACAAGACTCAAATTAAATTAACTGGAGGACCTAACCAGTACAGTATGTCAGTGCACAGACTCTTACATATAGAAACATATGGCCTGGTTCTCCTTTCACTTCAGCTATACCTGTCATTCCATTATTTCAGCTGACTTACTCCTGTTTCACTGGTATAAATTAAGAGGAAAATCAGGCCCACAGTTTTAAATCCTGATATGGATTGTAAGCAAGAATGAGATTGGTAGTTTCTTTCAGTCTTTTAAAATAGGGATTGGCAACCTGCAGCCCATGGGCCTCTGGCCTGCACATGTGGGGCTTCAACAGCTGAATTGACCCAGTTCAGGTCCGAGGATCTAGTCAATACTTGATCCAACCTAGGATCTAGCCAGCGCTGCCACTATTTTTCCCTGTGGCAGCATCTCCAGCCAGTGTTTTTTCCTGCAAAACTGGTCAGATTCAGAGCCGTAACAGAGCAGCTGGATGCCAGAGGCAGTGGCGACTTCCAGCCGTTGGTGCTGCCAGTGCACTTGCACAGCTGTGATTGCAGCTTTTGTTTTTCCTCAACCTCCCCTTCCACCCCCACCAAGTCAGCACCTGGGGCTGCTGTCTTGATTATCCTGTCTTGGTTATGCTACTGGTTAGATGTGAACCTGTATCAGCTCTGATTAAACTAGATCTGTGTAGGTATGGATGCATGAAAGGCCTTTAAATATCAAGAGGAAGATTTTTAAGCTTGATTGTCAGAGGGGTTAGCCATCAAATAAACTGGGTGAGTAGTGGGATATGAAAGAGTGCTTAAGATACAGAAAGCTAAACCTATGCAAGAAGCCAAGAGTATAGGGTCATAACTTATCATTTATTGACGTTTTAGGCATCAGAAGGACTAAAGACCACAGTTTTGACAATATTATATAAACATAATTGGCATAAACAAACAAGTAACTTTTTCTGTGTTGAAAGAAGCATCGAGCCATATTTTAAAATTGATGTATTTTAGTCATATAATGGAATCCTAGCTTATCCACTATGGATAGTGTGGGAAGGAGGCAGCCTTTGAAAACAGTGAAATGCTGTGGAATTTTTCAAAGTCAAACATGATCTCTTGGAATTTTGTGATTTAATATAGATACTTAATGGAATTTTAAGATAATCCAAGGGCTTGGAAAGGTGAACCTGTCCAATTGAGGAGACCGAGAGCCTATCTCTGCCACAGAATGATCTGCTCAACATTCTAGAGAAACTTTGTAGAGTTTCCAGTTCCTGTTACATTTTTCTCAGCAATAATGATTAATAAAAAAGGGCATAAATCAAGAATATATAGGCTGCTTCCTTACTTTTGTTAAAAGCTTCCCTGGAAGACTTAAATAGTAATGTCACTAAAGGTATTTCTGCCCACAGTTAAGGGGTAAAGTTGAACAGATCCGCTTGTACCATACTGAGAGAAATATGACCATGATGATACAGTCTAGCTGTCACTAAAGCTTATGGGATTCCTGTACTTAGTATATGCAGGCTATATAAAATAGCTAGTTTGAGCTTAGAAAAATAACACCGTATACTAGAAAAAATGCATGCAATCAAACAGTTGCATACTGTAGCTTTTTATATATTATTAACATACCTAAATATGAAACTGATACAAATAAGGCAGTTGTGACATAAATGTATATGCTGCCTGTGTTGTATGTTCTAATCCAATAAACTGAGACATAACATGAAAATTATTTCATATTCTAAAAGCGTATGCCAAGGGGCCTAGTTATTTTCATTTCATGAAAACAGGAGTGATCAGAGCTGTTTTTAGATTTAGTTTGTATGGCATAAACCTTAGTCAATGAGCAGCACTCTTATTGGAAGAAAATATTCAGGCTTTTATGTGTAGGCTTTCTTCAATATAAAATTATGGCCTGAAAATGTGAGATAAATTCAGTTTTTTCCTCTCATAGGAACAGAATACCTTAGAAATCAATTAAAGTTTAAACTGAAACTAATTTGTTTTGCAACTTTATCACAAAACCTTATAAGAAATCCTTATAAGAATTATCACAAAACCTTATAAGAAATTCTTAAGACTTTGTTGCCTTAATTTTAAAAGAGAGCTCTGCCTTGACTCTATAAATAAGACTTTTTTCATAGTAACATTGAAAAATTTACATATAAAAAGATTAAACTTCTACCTTAAACCACGAAAAGCATAGAAATGCATACCTGAGTCATGCTGATATTAGATAAAACTGAATACCACTATGGCTTGTTGCAAGATTATTATTATTTGATGATCATTATTATTTGATGATCTATTAAAGTTAAATTGGGAAATTAATAATTTGTATTTTCAAACGTGATACTGTCTTCCACAGCTACAGAAAGATTTTGGTAAACGTGGCTAAAAATTCCAAATTCCAAGTCTGTCATTTCGTGGGATATAAAGCAATCAGCTGTATCCACATAGTTGATTCTGATATCAACTAATAATTTCTCATAGGTTCAGATACTTTGGGAGGGTCTCTGTCTGATTTTGAGGTCTGACCCAAGGCTTACTGATGCCAGTAAAAGCCTTTCCATTGTCCCTGGTTTTTAGATTAGGACCTTACTGAATAATCATAAGAAAACAGATAAGCTAGGAGTACTTGACTGTCTTTCGTTGAACTTCAGTTTAATCTAATTCAGTAAAATAATATGCAGAAGTGTTTCAGTAAAATAATATGCAGAATTCCTCTGTTGAATTGAATCACCTTTAAAATATGAATCCAGAGCCACGTGGCTGACAAAATATATATGTTAAATAAGATTTTTGAGAGAGAAATAACTATGGTGTTAGAAACCACTCAGCATGTTTTCCCATTGCTGAATGTTCACATTATAAATTAGTTTTATCCATTTCATTCATCCAAATGCAAAAGTAGTAGCTTCTTTGCTTGGAAACTGTATCAGATTTTATCCTGATGTTAATGTTTTAAGGGAAAATCTCTGAATGTAGAGTCCATCTAATACCATGTTTATACAAATACATGTAATTAAAAATACCTGCTAGATATTACATTTTAAAATATTGTAAACTTTTACTAGCATTACAAAATCAAGCACTCAAGTTAGGAAATGTTTGCATTCACTATCCCTGGGGTTTCTTGACTAATCACAGTGTTGCCCTGCCCTTGTGAGCTCCTCTCTCTAAACCAGTGGTTCACAACCTTTTTAGACTCAAGGCATTGCTCCATAACTTTTAGGAATTTAGTGCCACCCCATTTGAAGACAAATTTATTTCTTCAAATGTCTCTGAAATAACTTTGCTCTTCTGGTTGAAATTTAGCCTGAGATGTATGCTCTGCAAGGACAATTTTAGGCCAAATGGTTAAGGACTGGCTAAGTGTAATAAACTAAAAATGGGATCTTGTAAGGGAAGCTGTTGATCAAACTTGATAGAACTTGATAGTAGTGATATAAGCCCCACCAATAATAATTAAAGCAGCAGCAGCCAGTGTCCATGCTAGAGTGGCCATCTGTTTTATACCGGACCATCCTATTTTTAAACCCTTTGGCTAGGGACAGACATTCAAAAAGCCTGAGCCTGAATTGATTCAATCTTTGCAGGTTAGTCTAAACTGGCTAGGCTAAACCAGTTTGTAAGCACATGGATATCCCCTCCGGACTGAAGAAATATCGGCACATGTCTGCAGTGGCTCAGGCTAGAAGCTGGGGGGCACTAGCGCAACCCTCCCTTTCCTTCTATGGTGCTGAGCTGAGGGGGGGCATGGTCACGCTTCAGCATGATGCTCTGATTAGGGCAGGGCCCCCGGCCCCAGCAGCTCAGCAGGGAGTTGATAACACAGTGTTTATCACCTCCAACTTGCTATCTATCAGCCCATAAAAAAAACAGCCTCTCTCCATTTGTTCAAGCTCTTCTTAAATAGCTTTTCCAAGGAAGAAACAGAGGGACATTACCAGCTACCTGTTGATTAGTTCCAAAAAGCCCTAATCTGACACAGTCCTGTCTGCCTTTGTCCTATCTCCCATGGCATGGACTGTAGCCAGCATGTGATATGCTAGCTAATGATGAGAGGTGTCTGTGTAAGGCAGAGGGGAGGGGGGATCCCTCCTTGAGCAGGGGGAGAGGAGGGAGCAGGAGGAAGCCTGGCAGACCCTGCTGTATGGTCTCTGCTGGAGCTGCAGCCAGGGAGCAAAGGGGAGGGGCCAGCCCAGGGAGCATGCTAGGATGCTGATTTAACTTAAACCAGGAAGGGGTCTGGAACAGACATTGCATAAACTGGTTTGGCCCAAATCAGTTAAGTCTGATGCTATATTCAACCAGATTTATCTCAAACCAGTTTCAGCCTTTTCAAACTGGTTTATGCGCACTGAGCTTCTGTTCTGCTACAGGTTTAAACCAGTTTCTGATCACTGAAACCGGTTTGTGTGTAACGTCTGTGAAAAATCCTGTTTTTCTGTTCACTGGTGGAAATGTGTGTCAATCATTTATTCTTGCAATTCTGTTGGCTGTGCCTAGAGGGCTGTGCACAGCTAGGAGGAGCAGGGCTCCCAGCCAGGGAGGGAGGGAGGTGGCCTTTTGCAGTGGCCGTGCCCCTCACTGCTGATTGGTCAAGGGCCTGGTGGCCCTGTCCCTCACTGCTGATTGGCTGAGGAGGTGGCAGCCCCATCCCTTACCACTGATTGGCTGAAGGGGCCTGCCTTTCACCAAGGAGATGCACCAGTGACCACCCTAGTTCTTTCACCAACTGCTGCTGCTGCAACAGCAATGTTATGAGGCTGCTTTTGCATCCCCTGCAGGGATAGGAGATGATCTTGGTGCTCCTCCTAAATTGGCACATGGGGCTGGTGTCCCTATTCCCACCCCTAATAATGCTACTGATTGCTTTTTAATTGTATTTGTGTTTTAACTTGTTCCTGTTAACTTTTCTTTTACAATTGTTACTGTGTTCTGTTTTCTTAACAGGCAGTTGACAACTTTACTTTTAGAAGGAAATCCTATAAAAAGATTGCCTGTGGAGCTTGGCAAGTACTTACTTCTTTTACAGAAGCATACTTCAAAAAAAGTCTTAGCAATTTTTTGATACTTTGGCATTTTAACATTTAATGCTGTAGTCAGGATCCCTGTTGGTATGTACTAAAATGTCTAAATGTAACCAACACAAGCTGCTGCCCATTTTGTAGTGAATAGGTGCTTTATAGTAAAAGGCAGTTGCTTCATGAAAGCAACACACAGTAGCAGCCTAAAATAAACTGTAAGTCTGGATCATATTCATTGATGGGAAGGGAAATGTTCACAAATATATTTCTCCATCATCCCCAATACAGGAGGGATTGGCAAACTGTTCAAGCAAGAATACATGTCAAGGATCACAAGAACATCTTAGAGAAGCAGTTGACAACCTTTTTACGTTAGGGGCTGGAGTGACCCAGCTTGGGTCAGAGGAGAGTAGAAAGGCAGGTTTTAGGACCCAGTCACCACTGGCACTCCTCTCCTAGCCCCTCTGAGTGGCACGGGGCGGGGGGAAAGCGAGTACTGCCAAAGCCCCTCCGTCTGTAGGCCAGATTCAGCCCACAGGGTGTACATTGCTAACTGCTGCTTTTGAGCATCCACATTATAGTATCTACTACTACAGGTGATGAAAACAGGTTTTTCTATGAAAAGTCTGAAGTTAAACATACTTTAGTTTAGGACAAATACTGGATTTCTGTGGATTTTTAAAAAAGGTTTTGGATACATCAACCTATTTCCAAAATTCTATTTCTTTAACATAACAGAACGAGTTTCCCTAAAATCCTGGGGACTGTCTGAGCTGTTTCGTGGAATGGGCAGCCAAGAAGCCTGAGCGCCCAAGCTCCCATTGGGGTTCTCAAAGCTGCCAGTCCCCTAGCCCAAGTGTGAGGGCTTTGGGGGACTAAAAATTCTGAAGCTGGAGTTATTTTTTCCAGGCTCTTTGTTGCAGAGCCAACGTATATATACCATGCCTTCTTTAAAACAATGTCAGCTATATTATATTATATTACTGTATACATAAAACAGTATAAGGTAATATGATATACTGGGAAGAGTACCTTGCTGAAGCTATGCTCCATTCAAAGATCTTCAAGTGGTCTGCTGCATGACATGGGGTAAAGCAGCATTTCTCAACCTTTTAAGTAGCAAGTACCCCCTTAACTTCTGAAAATTCTAAGAAGTACCCCAACACTCAATTTTCTGGGGGATTTTATATTTACAGACTAATGTGTGCCATATTTTGGAAGAAGGCCTGTGTATATAAGGCCGTGATATGACAGATGTCTGATCTGGTGTGGGTAGGGTTGCCACCTTTTACACCAGGGTGCACAACTCAGGTATGTACCTGGGCTAGAGGTGATGTTGGCCAAAGCTAGGAGGGCTGAACGCCAAATTATTACTGGGGAACTTAAATTTGGAATACCAAATTTTTGCCATAGTTTTGAGAAGAGGAAGGGGTGAGAGAGAGAGGAAAAGAGGGCAAGAGAGAGAGAGAGTATTGGGGTACCCGCATATGCCCTGCCTGTGTCTCGTGTACCCCCAGGGGTACACGTACCACAGGTTGAGAAACTATGGGGTAAAGCACCTCACCCTGTTATGTCTTGTTTTTCCCAGTGTACAGAGTAATGATAATTTCACCTTTATAAAGTGCCTTGACATCTACTAATAAAATGCACTGTATAGAAGCTAGATAATATTACCTGACTCTCTAATTTGGTTCAGGAAAACTAGTCTGAATGCTTTTTGAAGAGCCTCTGGGCTGAAGAATTTCAGAAGTGTATGAAAGTTTGAAATCAAAGAAAAATTATTATTTGATAGTAATGTTAATCTATGAAATCCTTCTCTATATATGTTTGTTAATTAACCGTAGAATAACATAGGCTATAGACACTAAAAATAGTCATATAAAATATGTACTGTTGCTAAGGAGTTGTGTTTGCTTTCACTGTAACTTACTTTAGTAAACAGCAGTTCTGTACTGGCCTTTTTTTGTCTATGTAGTTAATAAAATGTCCAACATTCATATGTCACCAGATATATTCTGCTTTCTGACTAGCTATGCTTAAGTGTTATTTTCAGAAATATTCTCGCTTGAAAATGTTGTTTAAAATTATATTTCTATACTAGCAAATCGGCACTTCTGGTGATGACATATAATTTTAATAAGCACTGTATCGAAAAAAAAAGTGAGCAGTGCAGTGATTAAGGACCTAATTTTCTTGTTCCTGTAGTCCTCCCTGTTCCACCCCAGTATCTATGCATCATTGAGTCTTCCCATTTTTGGATATATGCATATTCAGTAGGCCATTCTTAACATTTCTTTCTACTTTCATCTTCCCTTGGCACAGAGGTAGATTAAATGGTCTAATCATTGTTTTCCATTTCTAAATTTCATAAGTCTATGAGTCTCCTGCATATTTATAGAGACCATCATCAAGTTAGTGGTCTAACAAGATAAAAAATAGATTTTATTCTTCCAGTACCGAAGACTACAATTCTCATGAATCATTCTTCTCATTTCTGTTCAAAAATAGATTTAACATACTACTAAATAATTTTAGATGGAAATGCAATCTCAAACAGT